AAGCATTCATTAATTACAAAAAAATGTGCAGAAATGGGAAATGCCAATGGACTACGCAGTCTTGGTTATTGTTATATTTATGGGATTGGAGTTGAAAAGGATGAACATAAAGCATTTATTTACTCTAAAAAATCTATTGAAATTAACATGGACAGTCGTGAATCAATGTTTCAACTTGGATACTGTTATCTTTATGGGATTGGTGTTGAAAAAAATGAACATGAAGCATTCATGTACTATCAAAAGTCTGCTGAAACGGGATACGCTTCTGCGGTGTTTCAAATTGGTAACTGTTACCTTAGTGGGAGTGGAGTTGAAAAGGACGAAAATAAAGCATTTGATTATTATAAAAAATCAGCTGAAATGGGAATATTGACTGGAATATCTCAAGTCGGTTATTGTTATCGAAACGGAATTGGAACAGCGAGAGATTTGCAAAAGGCCAATTATTGGTATAAAAAGTATATAAACTATTCTTTAATCGTGTTTTTATTATTTTTAAGCTTAAATTTACTTAAATTTATTTTATAATTAACTAGAGAAAAAGAAGAATTATTAGGTAAATCTTGTTTATCCACCAATTAACTAATTAGACCATTAAACTTATAATTTAATTTTTCTAGTCAAAGATGAATGGATAAACGAAGGCCTTGATCTTGACATTAATTATGATATAAAGAAAATATTGATGGAAAATAAATATTCAATAACATAGATTCCTTATAATAAATTTTTTGACGTCAAAGAAATAGGCAAAGGAGGATTTGCAACGGTATACTATGCTAACTGGCTTGATGAAAATCGAGGTTATGAAAGACCTGTAGCACTCAAACTATTACACAAATCTAAAGATTATAATTATGATGAATTTGTAAGAGGTAATTTTAATTTACTATAATAATTTATATAGCGTTTTAATTTTATTTTTATTCATCATTTTCCTTTAATATTAGAGTTAAAGGCTATTGTGAAATTAATGATAAAGATCCTTCATTTTTAAAGTGTTATGGAATATCAAGGGATGATTATTCTAATGATTATATACTTGTTTTGAAATATGCAATGGAGGAGTCTTTACACAATATCTCTAAAAAAGTGGAAAGACAAATTAAATCTACTGGTTTGCGTTGCTTCTGATCTTCAGATAATTCATTCTCATAATCTTATTTATCGAGATTTGCATAGTGGCAATATTTTACAAGATGATTTAAATAATGCATATATTGCTGACTTGGGTCTTTTAATAACATCTAATTTAGAATTGAGAAAAAAATCTAGTGGAATTTACGGAATTTTACTATATGTAGATCCAACTGTTTTGAACAAAAATCAATATACGGTAGAATCAGATATTTATTCATTTGGCATAATCATGTGGGAAATTTTACATGGAACACCTTTGCCCAAATTTTACAGTGGATTTTTTGGACCAGAATATTTACAAATGTTAATCTTGTTTAAAAAATTAAGACCACCAATTTTCAATGATGTATACTCATATTATGTGAGTTTAATGGAGGAGTGTTTGGAACAAGATCCAAAAAAACGGCCATCAGCCGAGAAAATCTGTAAAACTTTAAATGAATGGCAAAATGACGAAAAAGTCTTATTGGAATTTTCTAAATTCGATGAAAAGTTGAAACATATAATATACCATGAAACGTGCAATAAAAGTTGTTTACTAGACATTTCAGCTTCTAAAGTGAACCGAATAGCATTCAACGAAGCTGATACTAATTTTTTCCTATCAGAAGGTTTTGAAATGCCGAGTAACTATGAAACTAATAACAATTCAGATAAAATCTACAGCCAGTTTATTAGCTATGATGATAAAACTATGGAGAACTTAATGAAACTATTTAACTCAGAAGAAATCAGATCTAATACAGGTAAGTCTCTTATGCTAATTTAAAATTATTCTTTCGACTTGGGCTGGAAGTATATGAAACTGAAACTTGGAATTATTTTATGTAAAATTACGATTTTTTCGAGTGCATTAATTAATATATAATTGGTCCAAAATTTGGGTAAAGTTTGTAATAAAGAATATAAATGGATTTTAGTAGCATATATATATAACAATAACCAAGACTGCGTAGTCCATTGGCATTTCCCATTTCTGCACATTTTTTTGTAATTAATGAATGCTT